CCCGCCCCCTGCCGGTATCCAAGGCGGGTTGTTCAGATCCCGGAGGAGAAGCTGCAGAATCAGCCCGCGTGAAGGAAGGAAGTCCGGTCGCTCCCAGAAGGGTTGCGTAATCCGCGTCAGCCCTCGCTGGCTTCAGCAGCCTCCCGATGACATAAACGGCTTTGCGTGCTAAAGCCGACCGCTGCCTCGGGCAGAACTTGTGCGGGGGTTCATGGAAGCAGACCCTGAGCTCTGCCTTTTCTGGCGGAGCGGTAGGACGCCTTTCCTAAGGTTCGAAGCACTGTTCCCTTTCTCAGCGGCAGAATCAGCTGCCTTGGCTTTAAATCCAAGGGAAAACGTTGGGTTCTTAGTGTGTGGGAGGTGGGTTTTTTGGGGAGCGGGGCTTTGGCTTTTTGGTTTTAAAGAAATGAGCGCACTTGTCCTAGGCCGTCTTCCCAGCGGAGCACCTTCCAAACATCCTGACGCTTTGTCTCTCTCCCTCCCCATCCTTCTCGCCCTGTCTAGGTCCGGATTGTTCTGTCTCCCCTCCTCCTTTCCCAAGGACGAGGATCCTCCTGCTGATGCGCGCAGAGACGCCGCGCAGGGCGAGCCGGAGCCGCAGCCCGCTGGTGAGCAGCCCCCCAAAGCCAACAGCGATGAGCAAGTGCCCCCGCTCCTGCCTCCCCCGCCGCCTGGCAGCCTTCCTCCCTACCCGCCCTACTTCGAGGGAGCTCCCTTCCCTCGCCCGCTCTGGCTGCGGCACACGTACCACCAGTGGGTTCCGCAGCCACCGCCACGGACTATAAAGAGGACGAGGAGGCGCTTGTCGCGGAACCGGGACCCGGGGAGGCTCATCATGAGCACCATCCGGCTGCGGCCGAGGCAGGTGCTCTGCGAGAAGTGCAAGAACACGCTGAACCCCGAGGATGCCAGCACCGCCAGGCAGAACGCTAAGACCCGGAGGAAGCTGAGCGTCCAGGACAAGGAGCAGAAGAAGCACAGCGACTCCGACTACGCCGAGAAAAGGATCAAAAGAGAAAAGAGAGAGGACGACAAGTTTTCGGGGGAGCTAGTGCATCGAACGCCGGTCATAAAGATATCCTACAGCACCCCGCAGGGGAAAGGCGAAGTCGTAAAAATCCCTTCCCGGGTCCATGGCTCGGTCAAACCCTTTTGTCCGGAGCGGGTATTGGAGAACGGAGGTGAGGACCAAGAGGAGCCCAGCGACTCCGAACGCTGTCGAGAAACCAGGTGTTTGATGGACAAGTCGGCTGGCGGCCAGCTCGCTTCCATTCCAAAACTGAAGCTCACGCGGCCGGTGCATTCCAGCGCGGATGGGCCGCCCCCGAAGATCCGGCTGAAGCCCCATCGCATGAATGACGGTCAGAGCGTTTCCATTTACAAGGCAGAGCTTATTGACGAAATCAGCGTCCTTCACAACAGCAGCGAGTCCAATCCCGGCGCCTTTTACAACGGCGAATCCGCGGACAGAGGCTTAGCCGAGATGTCTTCAGGGAGTTCTGGGGAAGATGAGGACTTCCGAAGGTTTCCCCGGGGTAAAGATGGACACGATAACTTGGCTTTCCTTATGAATTACCGTAAACGGAAAGCAGATTCCTCCAGCTTATCGGTGTGTAGCAATGACAGCCTGGACGAATCCAAGTCTTCGAGCTCGGAAGTGACATCACCGGAAATGTGTGACTTTTTGCCTGGTGATGATGCGTCCGTCTCCTCGTCTTCCAAAGATGAGCGTAAAATGGTGCCGCCGCTCACGGTCCGACTGCACACCCAGAGCGTGTCCAAATGCGTCACGGAAGACGGCAGGACTGTTTCGGTGGGGGACGTTGTTTGGGGTAAAATTCACGGTTTCCCATGGTGGCCAGCACGTGTTCTTGACATAAACCTTAGCCAGAAGGAGAATGGGGAACCCTCGTGGCAAGAAGCTAAAGTGTCATGGTTTGGGTCTCCGACGACTTCGTTCTTGTCCGTTTCAAAACTCTCTCCTTTCTCTGAGTTTTTCAAACTGAGGTTTAATCGCAAGAAGAAAGGGATGTATCGGAAGGCTATCACGGAGGCTGCAAAGGCGGTGGAGCACCTGACTCCAGAAATAAGAGATCTCTTAACGCAGTTTGAGACATAACTCGGCCTCTGCTATCAGGTGAGTGCTTGCTGACTAATGCTTCCCCTGACCCCCCCGTGGCTTTTCACCCACACTCCCCTGCTCGTTTGCATTTGGTTTTCCTCAGAAACCGAGGCGGGCGGTTGTTAAACGCCTGGCTCTTAGTTGGTGGTGGCTGCTGCAGAGCTGCTACGAGTCTGTAGTTCCAAACCCTGGGGTGAGCATGGGAATCGGAGACCCTGCTCTCGGAGGGGTGTCCCAAGCAGTTGACGCCGTGAGGAAGCAAGCATGGCTGGCTCAGGGAGCCAAGGGGAAGGTGTCGGCACCCTTTACAGCCGGGCTGTAGCGAGTGTTGAGGGTCCTTCGCTCGCACCAAGGCCGATCCTCCGTGGCCGGAGGGCTGACAGCTCCTGACTTCAGGTCTCTAGGAAGTATCTCTTGGTTCCGAGAACTAAAACTCTTCTTGGGATCAAGATTGTATTCACCGTGCGTAGGCGGTGGTGCCCAGCAGTTACCCGTGCAGTTCAGGGCCCTTGGCCTGGCCCTCCCCGGCAGCTTCACTGGCCCCCCGGGACGGGTGGCTCCCCCAGGCACTTTTTGTATGGCTCTTCAGCATGAAGGAACTGGGGAGCAGTGTTTCTGCCTTTCTCACAGCGCTTGGGGTTGGCTGGTGCCTGCCGTGTTGGTGCGTTGCTGCGGAATGGCCTGTACCATCAAATTAAATTCGGCGCTTCACCTGCAGCCTCTTGGTTTGAGGACATGAGGTGGGGACACAGATGGGGGGGCTGATGCTCTGTAGTGCCACCACGTTTGGCGTCTGCTGGTTGCAAGTGTGGAGGGGAGCGGGGCTCCCTTTGTCATCATTCCAAACGTGGCGCAGGGTGAAAGTTTGGTACCTAAAAAGACAGGATGGGATGTGACTGGGAACAGAAATGCCATCTGTAATTTCAGCTGATGCTGCCTACCGCGCTGCCCGCTGAAACCCATGGGAGAACTCCAGCAACTTGAATCAAAGCTGGAACTGTTTCATGACCTCCATCGCGCTCTAGGCAAGACCTCACCCGTCATACTGTTAAACAGAGGGAGGGATTAACTTTTTGCCTGGAAAACAGAACTAATCCTTAGGAAGAGTCCTGTTGCCAGAGGCCTTGCTTTTTACACCGTGGTTCATTACGTTGTCCCCTGAATTTTCCTGTTAGAAGGACGGTGTGTACACGAGTTGACACTACTCCTACCTGTGCTCCTCCACCTGAACTATCGGCGTGCAGTGGGTCTGCGATGGGCAGGGCTCCTGTAGTCTTGGGGAGGGAAAAGGGCTGGTTTTGTACCCTCTGTCACGGGATGTCACCACTTGCTCAACTGTGGGGAAGGACTTGCTTTGCCTGGGTTACTACTCACAGAACCACAGACTGGTTTGGGCTGGGAGTGACCTCAAAGCCCCCCAGTGCCACCCCCTGCCACGGGCAGGGACACCTTCCATAGCCCAGGGTGCTCCAAGACTCATCCAGCCTGGCCTTGGACACTCCCAGGGATGGGGCATCCCCAGCTTCTCTGGGAACCTGTCCCAGTGCTCCCACCCTCTCTGGGAAGAACTTTCCCTCCCAGTGAGCCTGGCTGGAGCATGGCATGTCCGTCCCGTGTGCTCACGGTGTCTGTACAACCGGACACGCGAGCGAGTAAAAATGTATAACCGCAGCGTTTCGGCCTCATCCCTGTTCTTGCCCCTTCAAACGCTGCTTAACTCTGGCTAAAGGCTTTATTACATCAAGAGCGTTTGGATTGCACCCAAATTCCTATTAGCTAGATCTGGAGTATAAATAAACCTGCTGCCCAGAATGTGCTGTCCTCGCCAGGGAAGGAATCCTGGTCAAAATCCATCGCTCTGGTGGGAACAGTGCTGGATTTAAAGGAGCGGCAGAGCCTCCTCCTCGGCGCCGTCTTTGCTGTGTGCGCGGCTGGGGCAGCGTTGGCAGAATGTGCCGTCACCGACGGCTGGTGGCTTCTGGGCAGGAGAAGGGGCTGGGGGAGGAAGCCCCTCCAGCTTCAGATCGGTCTGAGTGGCCATGCCAGGCAGTCCCTGTGGAGCAGGACAGCCAAGAGCATCTCTGAGTCCAGCCCTGGAAGTCGGCACGGGAGATGTGTGCCCCGGCACGTGTGAACCTAAGGGAAAGGCTGCCGGCTCTTCCCAGAACCACGGCAGACGTGGGGTCACGGTGAGGCCTGGCCGTGACTGGGGTGACAGGACGAGGGGGCTCTAGGGCTCCAGGAGGAGAAGCTCTTGCTCCCGGAGGAGACGTGGGTTACTGCAGACACGGCGGGTATCTGAGGTACCAGTGCGGAGCAGACGGGATGCAGCAGGCCTGTGATCTGGGAAAGAACAGTTGAGGATGGTCGGAAAGCGATGGGAGGGCCTGGATTAGACCAGACCCGTCCTTCCCTCTGTCCTCTGGGCCAAACCTCTGCGCGTACATGGGTACGTAGGTACGTTTAACGCGTTTTGCCATTTCGTTGGCCTCCTCCGGTGCCTTCCCAGAGCTGGTCTCTGCCCTACGCGTGCCCAGGGTCAGCTGCCAACCCTGCCTGTCCGGGGGTGGTAGTGGGATCAACTCCCCGTCTTCCATGCGCCCATTTCCTGCGCTTCCTGAGCAGTGTTCTGTGTGTTCCTGCGGTTCCAGTGTGTCTGGTGTTTGGGCACATCACTCGTAAAACAGCTGGTTCTGTTGGGACCTGCCCTGCAGTCC